GAATTGAACAAACAGCATAATAATAATAATTTTATGTAATTTTTAACCTTTCCGAAATATTTTCTAATAACAAATAACATCTTATAATTTTTAACATAATTATAATAAACAATTTTAAATTATTTTATTAATTTAAGTTTTTTTTAATATTTTTTTTTTAATTAATATCATTTTAACAATTATAATTTTAACTTTAACATTTATTTCATAATTAGTTTTATTAAAATATTGTTCCTTTTTTTAAACATAAAATAATAATAATATTGTTTCAGTGTTTTTTTTTAGATAAATTTGTAATATATACATAAATAAAATAGACCTAACTACCATTTACTACAACTATTATTAGTAAATAGTAAAAATTCATTAATAATTTGTTTTTTAAGCATACATACATAACATAATTACATACATAAATACATACATAAATACATACATTAATACATACATAAAATAGTACCTAAAGGTTGAAAATTTAAGTTTCCTATGAGGCTCATTCATTTTTTACACACATTTTTACAGAATTTTTTTTTTATTATTTGTTTTTTAAATATATTCACTCAATAGCTATGATCAACAATTAAAAAAAAAAGACATTAACTATTTTAACTCTTAACAGTTTTAAGATTTATTTACTTTTCTTTAAATATGTTTCTTTGTTTTAGTACTTATTTTGTATATTTTTTTTAAGATGAGGTCTAATTGTTTTTTTTTGCATAAAGATTAAACAACTATTGAAAACAAATTGTAATTTGGAAAAACAGATAACTGGAAGATACATATATAAATATGGAGATAGTATGATCCTTAAAGAAAATCACATCAAATTTGAACCTTTCGCCACTGGTTCTGTAGAAGTGATTCTAGTTCAATGAAACTTTTCTATAACCAGATCTTAAGTCAGTGATTTTAGTTTGAATTTATCGCCCTCATAACTAGCTCTAGGAAAGCCATAGATAAAAAATCTTAAATTTTCCGTAATGGCCAGTAGTTATTTCACACATTACTTGATAATGAGTGATCTTTATCAACCACATTATCTCATTGAGCTAAATAAGAACAGGCGTCAGAAAATAGCTTATACTTTTACTTAGTTAAAATAAACTAAAACCGATATTACTCGGTATTTATAGATTAATCCACCTTTTTCGGAAATTCTCCCATAGAGATTTTATAGTTGCTTCCCTTGCATTCCACTAAAGTCAGACGACATGTCCTGTGTTCTTAAATTCCTTTTTTACAAAAGTCCTATACCTTTCCACAGACCGAAGTTCTGGACAGTTTTTGGATTTGCCCCTCGTGGTTGAAAATTTTCATTATTGTTTGAATACTACTTAACAGCCTATTTTCATAGTGGCATGATGCCAAATCGGCCTAGAAAACGAAGAAACTATGATCTCTTTAAAAATAGCTGTGTACATAGTCTTGTATATAGTCCAGAATATAATTTTGTATATAGTCCAGACTATAGTCTTGTATATAGTCCAGTCTATAGTGCTGACTATGGTTCAGTCCATAGTCCAGTCTATAGTCCAGATTGTAGTGCAATCTATAGTCTTGTCTATAGTCCAGTCTATGGTCCAGACTATATTACAGAATATAGTCTTGTCTATAGTCCAGACTATAGTTTTGTCTATAGTCCAGACTATAGTCTTGTCTATAGCATTTACTATAGTCCAGACTATAGTCTTGTCTATAGTCCAGACTATAGTCTTGCCTATAGTCCAAACTATAGTCTTGTCTATAGCATTGACTATAGTCCAGACTATAGTCTTGTCTATAGCATTGACTATAGTTCAGACTATAGTCTTGTCTATAGCATTGACCATAGTCCAGACTAAAGTCTTTCCTATAGTCCAGGCTATAGTTTTGTATATAGACCAGACTATAGTCTTTTATATAGCCCAGACTATAGTTTTGTATATAGTCCAGACTATAGTCTTGTATATAGTCCAGACTATAGTCTTGTATATAGTCCAGACTATAGTCTTGTATATAGTCCAGACTATCGTTTTTACTATAGTCCAAACTATTGTCTTATCTATAGTACAGACTATTGTCTTGTCTATAGTCTAGACTTAAGTCCAGTCTATAGTCCAGACTATAGCCCAGTCTATAGTCCAGAATATAGTCCAGTCTATAGTCCCGATTATAGTCCATGCTATAGTCCTGTCTATAGTCCAGATTATAGTGCAGTCTATAGTCTAGATTATAGTCCAGATTATTGCCTTGTCTATAGTCCAGACTATAGACTTGTCTGTAGTCCAGACTATAGTCTTGTCTGTAGTCCAGACTATAGTCTTGTCTGTAGTCCAGACTATAGTCTAGTCTGTAGTCCAGACTATAGTCTTGTCTATAGTAAAGTCTTGTCTGTAGTCAAGGCTATTGTCTTGTCTATAGTCCAGACTATAGTCTTGTCTATAGTCCAGACTATAGTCTTGTCTATAGTCCAGCCTAAAGTTTTTCCTATTGTCCAGACTAAAGTCTTTTCTATAGTCCAGACTAGAGTCTTTCCTATAGTCCAGACTATTGTCTTATCTATAGACCACACTATTGTCTTGTCTATAGTCCAAACTATTGTCTTGTATATAGTCCAAACTATAGTCTTGTCTATAGTCCAGACTATAGTCTTGTCTATAGTCCAGACTATAGTCTTGTCTATAGTCTAGACTATAGTCTTGTCTATAGTCGAGACCATAGTCTTGTCTATAGTCCAGACTATAGTATTGTCTATAGTCCAGACTATAGTCTTGTCTATAGTCCAGACTATAGTCTTGTCTATAGTCCAGACTATAGTCTTGTCTATAGTCCAGACTATTGTCTTGTCTATAGTCAATATAACGAAAATTTGAATTTTCATTTCACAAAAAAAGTGTGTATAGGTTTTGTACTGACTCACTCCTTAATAGAAATCAGTTCCAAACGCAAATGGTTAAAATAAAATAAAGCTTAATGAGACGAATTTGTTTCTGAATAAAAATTTAGTAACCAGAATGTGTAAAAGTTGTTTTCTGTAACTAAATCAAGCGTTTATTAATGATAAATCTTGAACAAACTCAGTTATCTCTGTAAAAAAAGCTTCCAGTTAGAAAAGTTTTGTTTTCAATAAAAAAAAAGTTTTGAAATTGTTTCTTTGATTTTCCTAAATACTTAGGACAGCTACTCTAAAAACTTTTCAATAATTCTATTAAAAAAAAACTAAATAAAACTTTTCATACTTTCAATAATTTTAAATTTATTATTATTTTTTTAAATTTGTAAAAGAAAGAAGAAAAAAACACAAAAAATAGCTGCAATACGTTAAATTACGTCAATATGTTCCTACGAAAAAAAAAAAATAAATATATTTTTAATAATTAATATACTTAAGAAGGTTTAAATATAAACAACAAATAAGACAAGAAAACAAAAAAATACTTAAAAAAATCATAAGTTATTAATTAAAAAAACAAAAAAAAAAAAGAACCAAAATTATTAAAACATAAAGAATAAGTTTTTTTTAAATTAAACAAAAACAGTTTAAATTTTAAGACAAAACACAATTGTTTTCAACATAAAACACAATATATTAATTTAAAAAAGAAAAAAATAATAAAATTAAAAATTAAGAAAAAAAAAACACACTTATTGAAGCTATGAAATGGTTGAAAGAAAAAAAAGTAATATATTGACCCCTTTTTAAAATATGTTTAATTTAAAAGAAAAATAATTTTATTTTTTAAAAACATTAATAATTTAGTATGTTTAAGATTTAAGTAATTAATTTTTTTTATTAATTAAAAAAAAACAAACAATATTTAATGCTATAACAAGAAATTTTAAGTTCCCATTATTATTTAAAACAAAATAAATATTTAAACACTACACAACAAAAATATAAAAAAAATATATTTTTATTTTAAATTATTAATAAAGGTTTTATTTAAACAAAAAAAAAGAAATGCATGAAGTTTTCTTTCTTTTAAAACAAAATTTCTAAAAAAAAATAAACAAAAACATTTCGGAAGGTTAAAATTTTAATTTATGATATTAAAGGTTTAAAACAAAAAAATAATAAATTAACCATTTTATAAACTACTCATATATAATTATATATTAAAAAAAAAACAAGGCACAATTTTCCACATAACCAATAACAAAAATAAGACAAACAATTATTTAATTAGTTTTAATTAAAAATAATTAAAAAAAAAGTAAACCAGATATTTGGCCATAATCATTTTTAGTACGGGAAATTCAAATAAAATAATAAAAAATAAATAAATTCCAAAATAAAAAAATAAAATAAACTGCAACACAAAAAAATAAATAAAAAAAATTATATTAAAATAATAAATTTAAAAAAAAAATATTTTAGGCCGCCTAATTAAGGACACCAAAACAGAGGACAGAAAAAAAACAACTTTTTAGGTTTATTTTGAAAGAAAAAAAAAAAAAAAAACAACAAAAAATTTAAAATTTAAACAAAATAAAAAATAAAATTTACAAAAAATGCATATCATAGCTGTAAATTATGAAGATTAATTAACAACAATTGAACAGAAGAAATAAACCCCCAAAAAAAAAAACATTTACTTAAAACAACCCCCCCCCCCCACTTCAAGAAGAAATTATAAAAACAAAAAATATTAAAAATATATAATTTTTCCCCCGCAATAAATTATTAAGTAAAAAAAAATACAAGGTTGCAAATTTAGAGATGATGCTAAAACTTAAACATATTTAGATGAAAAAACCTCAGTAAAAAAATATTTAAAACACAAGAAAAAAAAACAAAAAATATTATTATAATAATAATGATAAATAACCTTTAAAGAAAAAAATGCGCCGTATTGAAGCTAAAACAAAAAAAAAAACAACAACAAGAAAAATTACTGATTAAACAAAATATGAAACTGATTTTTATTGTAAAGAAAACGTGTTACGTTTTTTTCTACATATTTTATTTTTTGCATAAAAAATAGTTATAAACCAAAATATAAAAAAACGATAAAAAAACAACAAAAAAATATATGAAAAAATAAGAAAAAAAAAAAAACATTTTGAACAACCAATAAACATTAAAATATAAAAAAACAAATAAATTTTGTTAGTATTTTTCATTAAAAGTACCGCAAGAAGCGATACTAACTTCTTAATATGCAAACAGTAGCATTATAGCAACCCGATTACTATAGGACTGTAATAAATTCGATTCTATTTTCTGCTAACTTTAGTGATTCAGCCATATAAGGTGGATCAACTATAGTCTTAACTATTGAACAGTGTATAGTCTGAATCAGAAATCAGTCTATAAACTTGACTATAAAATAGTCAATAACCTTGACACCATATCAATTTCTAATCTTGATTTTAGCTCCTAACTGTAGACCAGTCTACCGTTCTTAACTGTAGATAGTCTATAGTCTATAGTGTTGACTATAGATCTTATAGGCTTGACTAGATAAGTCTTCACTATTGAACAGTGTGAATCAGAGATCAGTCTAGAAACTTGACTCCAGATCAATTTCTAATCTTGATTTTAGATCGGTCTATAGTTCTTAACTGTAGATCAGTCTATAGTGTTGACTATAGATCAGTCTATAGGCTTGACTAGTTAAATCTTCACGATTGAACAGTCTATAGTCTGAATCAGAGATCGGTCTAGAAACTTGACTATAAATTACCAATAACCTTGACTTCAGATCAATTTATAATCTTGATTTTAGATCAGTCTATAGTTCTTAACTGTAGATCAGTCTATAGTGTTGACTATAGATCAGTCTATAGGCTTGACTAGTTAAGTCTTCACTATTGAACAGTCTATATTCTGAATCAGAGATCAGTCTAGAAACTTGACTCCAGATCAATTTCTAATCTTGATTTTAGATCAGTCTATAGTTCTTAACTGTAGATCAGTCTATAGTGTTGACTATAGATCAGCCTATAGGCTTGACTAGTTAAATCTTCACTATTGAACAGTCTATAGTCTGAATCAGAGATCAGTCTAGAAACTTGACTATAAATTACCAATAACCTTGACTCCCGATCAATTTCTAATCTTGATTTAAGATCAGTCTATAGTTCTTAACCGTAGTTCAGTCTATAGTTCTCAACTATAGATCAGTCTAGTTGACTAGTTAAATCTTCACTATTGAATAGTTTGAATCAGCGATCAGTCTAGAAACTTGGCTATAAATAAGTCAATAACCTTGACTCCAGATCAATTTACAATCTTGATTTTAGATTTGTTTATAGTTCTTAACTGTAGATCAGTTTATAGGCTTGACTATAGATCAGTCTGTAGGCTTGTCTAGTTTAATCTTCACTATTGAACAGTCTATAGTCTGAATCAGAGATCCGTCTATAAACTTGACTATAAATTAGTCAACAACCTTGACTCCAGATCAATTTCTAATATTGATTTTAGATCAGTCTATAGTTTTTAACTGTAGATCAGTCTATAGTGTGGACTATAGATCAGGCTTGACTATATAGTAGACTATAATCACTAGTTCACTATTGAACAGTTAAAAATAGATAAGACACTGTGGACTAAGATACCATTAGTACATTCTTGGTAATGCTTTGAAATTAAACTGTCAAAATCAATCATATTTTGATGATTTCGTTTAACCATTAAATGACAACCTTATCAACAATTCGAGAGGTAAAACATATACACACTTTTCTAGCTCAAACTTATCGCTGGTCCAACAAATTGTATATTTTTTCATCACATTAACTTTAAAATGAATGTGAGATATTATCTTTCTAAATCAGATATTTTCAACTGTTATTTTGGTTAAAATGGACTCAGAGAAAATGAAATAATTAAAACTGGGCTATCATAACTAACTATCATAGCAAAGGATCTGAAGGGTTATCTTCCACACAAGATGAGGGGACCCGATCATTACGAAATTCGACTGGGTCATCAAACCTTCTATTAAACTTGTAAGTTGGTTAGTTAGTTTGAAAGGAGTATGTACATAGATCAAATCCGAAGAAAAACATCTAGGCCTGTATCGGGTCTGTTATGCGCTCCTTAGCCAGTGCCTCAGATGGGAATCTAACCCACTACCTCCGGTCTACTAGCTTAGAACACTAGCATTTTAACCCTTTTTCAGAAGTTTCATCTTTAGTGAAATATCTTGACTTATCACATAGACGGACGGATGGAAGGATGGACAGGGGGAATTTGCTAATCGACTCAGAAAATAATTCAGATTGATATAATTTTAGTTGGATATAGGACTTTGGGTATTACAAACACAAACGCATAATACCCTCTCAAGTATAGTAAAATAAAAAAGTTATTTAAATCGAGTCAACATTTTACCATCATATTATCTTAACGAAAATTTCAAACTCTTTTGTAATTACAAATTCAAAAGTAAACAAATTATAATTATACTATGATTATACCAAAATATATACTTTTAACACAACAAAAAAAAAAAAGAGATCCTTACAGTTTTTCCCTACAGGATAACAATACAATGGTAAGCTTTAGCAAAACCAAAAAACAATAAATTAAAATAAACATTATAGCATTATATCTTTAGAATATCTGCCTAAAATATTTTTTTAGTTCAAATTTTTAGTTTGACAACTCCTATTTTCATATTTGTTTAGTAAAATCATCTTAATAATTAAATGTTTTTTTTTAACTAAATGTTGTGTGTATTTATAATTAGACGCATGTTTATCTACATTTTATAATAAAATATTGGCTTTTTAATTTTACAAATGATACAAAAAAAGTAAACCTTTAAACCTTGAAATCCTATAAACATATAAAATACCCTCAATTGCCTACTAATACTAATATTGATTATTTATTTCTTTATTTTTTGTTTTTATTTTTTTTTTTAACATCCAACAAAAGCTGTTACGTAATTTTGGTATGGCCACCAGATGTCCTACGCCATTTGCTTTTCCCTTTACACCTTTGGGTTTGAGTTTATTTGATATTGATCCGTCCAGAATATTAACCATGTTGCATCATCAAACTTGGTTAGCAGAGGAAGCTTTAAGGTAAAATAATTCAATTACATATAAACAAAAAAAACATTTTTTTGTACTTAACAAAAAACTCATTATAGAAATCGCGGTTTGCTAACACCACCTCCTACATCTAAGGACTTTAGCCAACGTTTTAATCCTTTAAGCGATTTACTTTCCAAAGATTATCATGCCAATCATATGCATCTTAACACTGCCGATTTATTAGCTAGATCCTCATTATCATCAGCAGCTTTAGCTGCCACCGCATCCTCTGCAGCCCATTTTGGAGGGCCTACCGATTTAGCTAGTAAACAAACACAGCAACACCGTTCCACACCACAGCAACAGCAGTACAAACAACAACAACAGCAACCACCTTTTAATATACGTTATCCGTCACCAGCTGCATTTTTTCATCAGCAACATCATCAACAACAATTGCAGCAACAATTACAAACACAAAAACTAACCAAGTCAACTAGACAAAGCACACCCTCACCTCAACAAACTGCCACCTCCAGCGGTCCATCCCTGTTGAGTGCTTCATCTTCGACATCCTTATCATCTCTACACAAAAGCTCCGAAAGATCTATAACCCCCTGTCACAAAGACGATGACAATGATGGCGTTATCGAATTGACAACCAGCCATCATGATGAAGCTGCTGCTATAAGAGATCGTGATAGTGGCAATTCAAGTGCCGCCACTACCAGTTCCATTACCTCATCGATGCTTTATAAAGATTCCTTAGAACAACTATTACAACGCCGTCATTCCAGTGGAATGATGACGGGTGAAGCGAGTTTAAAGTCGTATTCACAGCTCTTGCTGAATTCAACAACTCCAACTGATACCTCAAGTTGCAAGGAGAAAAGCTCCTCTTCATCTACCTCATCTACGCCACCACCGGCTCCAGGAACACCAGGACAATTGTCGCTCAGCCGCAGCAGTCTGCTGAAAAGTCCCTCGGATACCTCATCACTGTTTAGTGAGCCCATTGAGGAGGAGACCCGCTGTATAGTGTGCAATGCTCAGTTTCCCAATGTTTGGCTATTGGAACAACATGCCGCTCTGCAACATCCCCTTTTGGGACCAGGTGAGGAAAAACCTTTTATTTGTGAACAATGTGGTCAATCCTATCGATATCGTTCAGCTTATGCCAAACACAAAGAAACCAATCATCGGGCCCGTTTACCGGCGGATAAACTTTTTACATGTGACGTTTGTGGCATGCAGTTTCGCTATTTGAAATCGTTCAAAAAGCACAGATTGAATCATGCCTTAGAACGTTTACATGGCAAAAAGGGTAAGAATCCATTTGCTGCACATTTGCAACAACAGTTGCAGGAACACGAAATGGTCAGCAGTTCTCAGGAGCCGAATATGATGATGGCCGACACCGATACTGTCGAAGATTTGCGTATTAATATTAAAAAGGAGCGTGAGGAAGAGGAACAACAGCTGCAGCATCAGCAACAACAGCTTAAACACGATGATGAACAAGATGCCACCGTAGATTCCGCCGGTTTAATGAGTTATCAGGAAAATCAGACCTCGGCCAATACAACAATTCAGACCAACAGCAATGAGCCTAACATAAGCAGCTCTGAAGGAATACATAGTACAAATAAGAGGGTAAGTATGCTGGTTAATTTGCCCATAAAAAGGAAAAAGGATGTATATGTATTTATCTAATGTTACAGCCTCGTCTACTTCAAGCATCTCTAACCAGTCATATTGAAACGGATTCCTCCTATCACTCAAATCATCAACAGCAACATCCACCACCGCCACCACCACAACATCACCCACATACTCTGGTACATCACCCACACTTAGCACCTCAACTGCCTGGCCATTTGGCTCATAATATGTCGGCTATGGCTGCTGCAGCAGCTGCCGCAACCACACCCCAACATCAGCAACAAATGACACCTCAAACTGCACAGCAAGCAGCAGTGGCAGCTGCTGCTGCCGCCGCCAATTCCATGAATTCTTTAAATTCTCTTAATTCTATAACGTCACTAATCAATGCTGAACGTTTGCCCAACGAACAATTTTTGGGTCTTAATCCACAAGAAGCCTCTATACTCAATTTCTTACGGGTGGATGCTCAGGAAAGGCAAAGAGACAAGAGGTAAATGATGATTTTAAACGATATTTTTTCTCTATCCACCATCAAAAAAGAGAAGATCGAGATATGTCCGTCCGTCTGTCTGTTGAGAGCATTATAGGACAGTGAAGAGAGGACCTAGTAGGATGAAATTTTACCAAAATATTTTATGATGTTCAGAATCATTTCGTAATGAAAATAGGCTAAATCGCCCACCCATAAAAACATAAAGACCTGAATGTCTGTCCGTCCATCTTAAAACAAAGAGAACGATTGGCATGTGGGTTAAAATTAACCAAAATCGATAAAATGGCTTAAATCAAGATATAAATACATTCTAAATAAATGGTCTATGTGGGTTAAAATTAACCAAAATCGATAAAATGGCTTAAATCAACATATAAATACATATTAAATAAATGAAACATAAAATTTTTTAAAATTTAGACAATGTCTCTTAAAATGGACCTAATAGTTTAAACTGCTAAGTATTGAATAAAAAAATCCTAATTCCGATATAATTGTAGAACATTAAAAGTTTTGATGATGGATATATAAAATTCGGCTCAGTCGAATATAACACTTTTACTATTTTTGTATTCTACCATTTTTCTTACTTAGACCTCCTGCCTCCCGTTTTGCTTGCCCGTTCTGTGGTAAATGTGTACGTTCTAAGGAGAATCTAAAATTGCATGTACGCAAACATACCGGTGAACGTCCATTTGTTTGCCTCTTCTGCGGTCGTGCTTTCGGTGGCAAATCCGATTTAACACGTCATTTACGTATACACACCGGTGAAAGGCCCTATCATTGTGAATCGTGTGGCAAATGTTTTGCTCGTGCCGATTATCTCTCCAAACATCTAACTACACACATTCATAATGCTCCACGCTGAGATGAGGCGCGAAGGAGAAGACTCCTTCGCCGTTAGTTTTAATACAACTTTACAGCCCGTGAAAACAACTTAAAACTTAGATCAATTGTTAAACAGAGAAAGAAGGAAAATCAACAAATAAAAATTCAAAATATGTCGACATATGGATTTTAGCATAATACGTAAGATCTTGGGGTTTATATAGATTTTATATATATATAGATAAGATATGTATAGAGAAAATACTAAAGAAACAAAACTTATTTATAGTTTATGTTTCAAATTTTACACACAAAGTGGAATTGTAAAGATTTTAAGGAAATCTTTTACTTTTGATATTGTTTCATTTTTTTCTTTAATTATATTTTTTTTAACTATAATATATAAGATTTGATTTGTTTAGGTGTATAGATTTCATTCAAATTAATTATAGTAAAAAACTGAAATTCAATTTTCATTTGGCTTGCTAGTTGAGATGGGAACAAATTATGGGTATTATTTTATTACTTTTATAAATTACATTACTTTTTTTAATAACTTTAGTAAAAGTTTAGTAATAATAAAAAAAATAAATTTTATTTTTTGTCTTAAAGGCTCTAAATTGAAAATTAAGAAATATATATGATTAGGTACATATCTGAAACTTATTTTGGATTATAATTATAAAATTGATTTAAAAATGAATATTAATAACTAGCACTTTTTGTGGAGTAAAATTATAAGAAAATATTTTAAAAAATATTAATGTAACGAAAGAAATGTGGAATGTTATGGAATTTTGTTGCAATTAGGAAAATGTCCCTTTCAAGCAAAGATACCTAAAATGGTCCTTCGAACTACGAGGTAATAAAATTTCAATTGCTTTCAAAACATTACATTAGGAAGTTAAACTTTGATGTTAAATAACTTCCATATCTTCCCCTATATGCAAGTAAGGTTTGTGTTTTGAATGGTCCTTCGAACTACTACGTATACATATTTAAAACATGTTTTAATTAAAACAATCCATCAAATAGCCCTTTTTTGTGTGTGAGATCAAAATCATTTCAAGCAATGACACCTTTAATGGTCCTTCGAACTATGAAGTAATAAAACTTTAATTGTTTTCAAAACATTCTATTAGAAAGTTAAATATACATAGAATATCTATATCACTGCGGGTTCTTGGAACTCTTGATAAGTATTTTGGGTATCTTATTATCAACTACAACATGAGATTACATAACCTTTTCAGCAAAAAAAAACTTATCAATCGAAGCTTGCATTTCAAATTGAGGTATCTAGTATTGTCCTTCAAACTACAAAATTGAAACATACAATCCATCAAATAGCCCTTCTTTGTATGTGGGATCAAAGGCATTTCAAGCAAAGACACCTAAAATGGTCCTTCGAACTACGAGGTAATAAAATTTCAATTGTTTTCAAAACATTCTATTAAGAAGTTAAACTTTTTTGTTAAATAACTTCCATATGTATCTTCCTCTATATGCAAGTAAAGTTTGTGTTTTGAATGGTCCTTCGAACTACTACGTATACATATTTAAAAAATGTTTTAATTAATACAATACATCAAATAGCCCTTTTTTGTGTGTGAGATCAAAATCATTTCAAGCAATGATACCTTTAATGGTCCTTCGAACTATGAAGTAATAAAACTTCAATTGTTTTCAAAACATTCGATTAGGAAGTTAAATATACATAGAATATCTATATCACTGCCGGTTCTTGGAACTCTTGATAAGTATTTTGGGTACCTTATTATCAACTTCAACATGAGATTACTTAACTCTTTCAAATTGAAACATACAATCCATCAAATAGCCCTTCTTTGTATGTGGGATCAAAGGCATTTCAAGCAAAGATACCTAAAATGGTCCTTCAAACTACGAGATAATAAAACGTCAATTGTTTTCAAAACATAAGAAGATAATTTCCTTCTAATCAACAATATCTATATCACTGCCGGTTCTTGGTACTCTGGAAAAGTCATTCGGATACCTTATCAACTACAACATGATATTTTATAACCATTTCAATAAACAAACTTTTCAATCAAAGCTTGTCCCTCAAATTACAAAATTGAAACATACAATCCATCTAATAGCAATTCTTTGTATGTGAGATCAAAAGCATTTCAAGCAAAGATACCTAAAATGGTCCTTCGAACTATGAAGTAATAAAATTTCAATTTCAAAACATTCTTTAGAAAGTTTAACTTTTTTGTGAAATGACTTCCATCCATATCCTCCAATATATGCAAATAATGTTTGTGTTTTGAATGGTCCTTCGAACTACTAAGTATACAATCTTACATATTTAAAACATGTTTAAATTAATACAATCCATTAAATAGCACTTCTTTGTATATGAGATCAAAATCATTTCAAGCAAAGATACCTAAAAGGGTCCTCCGAACTACGAGGTAATAAAACTTCAATTGTTTTCAAAACATCTATTAGGAAGTTTAACTTTTTTGTTAAATAACTTCCATATCTTCCCCTATATGCAAGTAAAGTTTGTGTTTCAAATGGTCCTTCGAACTACGAAACATAAAATCTTACATATCGTACGCAAACGTGCCAAGTTTTATTCAATAAATTATACAGAAGTTAAAACCTGTTTTAATTAAAGCAATTAAAAAAATCACGGAAAAAAGTACAAGTTCAAGAATTGTTCCTAAGAATGTGTATTTGTTTTCGAAAGTTTTAGTTCATTAATGGACCTAAAATGGTCCTTCGAATTGCAAAATTTTTACAACATTAAGGTTTTTAAAAGAAAATACTTTCCAATCAAACAAAAATAACTTAAATAAGAACTAGTTCTAGAATTGTGTCTAAAAAGAAGTATTTGAACTGGTTTTGAATTCAAGAAAAGCTTGCATTTTTAATATAAAATGGTCCTACGAAGTGTAAAGTTTTAAAACTTCAAGAGTTGTTCGTTCTAAATGACTTAAGCAAATTCTTAGTTAGAGAAGCTTGTAGCACAAAGTTTACTAATCCAAAATGCTCCTTCAAATTTAAAAATTTCCAAATTTTTAAATTTTTTAAAACTTACAAACCACAAGGTTCTTAAACATAAATTGTTTTCAAAACATTCGAATAGAAAGTTAAATTTTATTGTTAAATAACTTTCGTGTCTACCCCTCTATGCAAGTAAAACACCTTTTTAAACAAAGTTTAGGTTTTAAATGGTCCTTCGAGCTACAAACTTCTAAAGCTTAAAGGCAATTTAACAAAATACTGAAACATGAACTGGTTTTAGAATTGTTCTTAAAAAGTAGTATTTGTTTGTGAAGGCTTAAAGTTCAAAAAAAACTTTTATTTTAAATTAAAGGATCTAAAATGGTTCTACGAACTGAACACAAATCAATTATTAAATTTCCTAACATTTCATGTTACTTCATGATAGTTCACAACACTAAATTACTAACAAAAAGTGCTTTAAAAGTAAAATTTCCTTTAGTTTATTATTTTTATTAGAATTTTATTTAATAATTTCAAAAAGAAAAAAAATTTTTGATTAAATTTTATGATTTGGTGCTGGATTGAGTTTAAGGAAAAAAGAAATAGGATTTACAAACAAAATTTTATGGGGCTTTACAAAATTATATTTTAAATAGGAAAAATATATATAAAAGAAAATTAAAACACTTACACACACACATCACAGTTGAGAGTTTTTCTTGAAAGTTACAAAAATAAAACTAAATTTGGTTTCAGATATAAATTAAAAACTAAAAACAAGCAAGAAAAGTATTAATTATTATTACAGAAAAAAAAAAACACTCAAACTATAAAAAGGAAAGAAACAAGTATTTAAAATCTAACTAATCTGCCGTTTATTTTAAAGATTTTATTTATTTTTTATTATAATTTAATTATGATTTGAATTATTTTTAATGTTTATTAAGAAACAAAATAAAACAAATCAAATGCAAAAAAAAAGAACCTAAATAGCCTTAAAAGAAGCATAATAGACAAATTTTTAAACACAAAAACTAAATAAAATAAAATAAAATAAATAGTTTCTTTTTTTTAATATTATTTTATACAAAAAACAAAATGCAATAATAATTATAAACTAAACTTAAAGAAATAATATTGTTAACTACTTTCTAATATTGATTATATACACAAATCTACAAAAACAAAATAGCAAAAAAGAGGCATAGCAATAGTTAAAAATTTTTTTTATTAAAAAAAATATATATATATTTAAAACAAATAGAGCAATATACAATAACTATTTTTTAAAACAGAAAAAAATATTTTTATGATTTTTTTTGTTTTTAAACTACCATAAAACAAAATAAATAAAAATATTTAAATAGTTTATTTACAAATACACAAATTTTTACTAAAAACCTAAACTTATTATATACAATTTTAAGCAGCCACCGCCAATAGTTAAATTTTTTTTATTTAACAATCAAACAAAAAAAAAAAGAATAATTTAATTAAAAATAGCTACATACTACAACAAACAATCAAATAATTGTTAAACAAAAACAACAACAATATAATCAAAATATATATTTAAACTAAAACACAAAACATTAACTACAACAAAAAAGAATATAATTAATACAAAACTGTGATTAAAAAAACAAAATAAATAGCACAAGTAACTTAAAACTAACAAAACAAAAACAATAGAAAATTTTATTTAATTTTTAGTTTATTAATTTTGTCTAATACAGAAAACATATGCAATTTTTTTATTTCTTATATATTAATAATATTTTTTTTATAAACAAAACCAATAAAAAACCTTAAACTAAATAAATGTAAAAAAAACAAACAATATTGAACCAAGAACATCGAATTAAAACTTAATGTAGTTTCAATAATTAAATAAAAACAAACAAAAAACCTAATTAAACACAAGAAAACCCTTTATGTATAAAAAAAACAAAGTAATTTAAAATATTTAAAAAATAATACAAACAAAATAAAACTAAAAAAAATTTTGCCGTACCAATGAATTAATTCTTAAAATAAAATAAAATCGAAAAACACACAAAAGTAATAAACTAAAAAATGTAAATGTTATAAAGTAAATTAAAATAAAAAAGCAAAACAGTAAATAATCAATTAACTACAAAAAAAAATTAAATAAATAAAAAAGTTAAAAAGAAAAAACTTTCACTGTGCCAAAAATATAAAAGTACCTCATAAATTGTAAAACATAAAAAACAGAAATTACATTAAAAATACCCGTAAACGAAATCAGAAAAAGAAACGGAATGAAAAGAAAGTTTTGTTTAAAGTTTTAAATTCTTTTTTTTAAGAACAATAGATTTTTAATTATTTTGTTTTAATAAATTATAAAATTGGTGTATATTTGTTTTTATAAATAATGTTTCATGTTAAAAATATCAAAAAAATTCTATTGTAAAAAAGAAAGTATTTTGTAAATGCACCTTTTAGATATTTGCTTTTAAACTGTTATTACTACATTAATTAAAAATATATATTTGTCCAATTTACAATTGGTATTGTTGTATCGAATTGTTGTATTGGAAAACAAAAGAAATAAAAATGACAACATACAACACTACGACACCGATTGTGAGTTGAACAACTTTAAGATCTATTTGTTAATTCAAAATCTGTGGGCGACTTATCACAGTTCACGGTTCTAATTAAGTTCTAGTTCAGTTTTAGTTCAGTTCTAGTTTAGTTATAGTTCAGTTCTAGTTCAGTTCTAGTTCAGTTCTAGTTCAGTTCTAGTTCAGTTCTAGTTCAGTTCTAGTTCAGTTCTAGTTCAGTTCTAGTTCAGTTCTAGTTCAGTTCTAGTTCAGTTCTAGTTCAGTTCTAGTTCAGTTCTAGTTCAGTTCTAGTTCAGTTCTAGTTCAGTTCTAGTTCAGTTCTAGTTCAGTTCTAGTTCAGTTCTAGTTCAGTTCTAGTTCAGTTCTAGTTCAGTTCTAGTTCAGTTCTAGTTCAGTTCTAGTTCAGTTCTAGTTCAGTTCTAGTTCAGTTCTAGTTCAGTTCTAGTTCAGTTCTAGTTCAGTTCTAGTTCAGTTCTAGTTCAGTTCTAGTTCAGTTCTAGTTCAGTTCTAGTTCAGTTCTAGTTCAGTTCTAGTTCAGTTCTAGTTCAGTTCTAGTTCAGTTCTAGTTCAGTTCTAGTTCAGTTCTAGTTCAGTTCTAGTTCAGTTCTAGTTCAGTTCTAGTTCAGTTCTTTCTAGTTCAGTTTATTTCGTTCTAGTTAGTTCTAGTTCTGTTCTAGTTCAGTTCTACTTCAGTTCTACTTCAGTTATAGTTCAGTTCTAGTTCAGTTCTAGTTCAGTTCTAGTTTAGTTCTAGTTCAGTTCTAGTTCAGTTCTAGTTCAGTTCTAGTTCAGTTCGAGTTCAGTTCGAGTTCAGTTCTAGTTCAGTTCTAGTTCAGTTCTAGTTCAGTTCTAGTTCAGTTCTAGTTCTTAGTTCAGTTCTAGTTCAGTTCTAGTTCATTCTAGTTCAGTTCTAGTTCAGTTCTAGTTCAGTTCTAGTTCAGTTCTAGTTCAGTTCTAGTTCAGTTCTTAGTTCAGTTCTAGTTCAGTTCTAGTTCAGTTCTAGTTCAGTTCTAGTTCAGTTCTAGTTCAGTTCTAGTTCAGCTGTCTAGTTCAGTTTAGTTCAGTTCTAGTTCAGTTCTAGTTCAGTTCTAGTTCAGTTCTAGTTAGTTCTAGTCAGTTCTAGTTCAGTTCTAGTTCAGTTCTAGTTCAGTTCTAGTTCCAGTTCTAGTTCAGTTCTAGTTCAAGTTCTAGTTCAGTTCTAGTTCAGTTCTAGTTCAGTTCTAGTTCAGTTCTAGTTCAGTTCTAGTTCAGTTCTAGTTCAGTTCTAGTTCAGTTCTAGTTCAGTTCTAGTTCAGTTCTAGTTCAGTTCTAGTTCAGTTCTAGTTCAGTTCTAGTTCAGTTCTAGTTCAGTTCTAGTTCAGTTCTAGTTCAGTTCTAGTTCAGTTCTAGTTCAGTTCTAGTTCAGTTCTAGTTCAGTTCTAGTTCAGTTCTAGTTCAGTTCTAGTTCAGTTCTAGTTCAGTTCTAGTTCAGTTCTAGTTCAGTTCTAGTTCAGTTCTAGTTCAGTTCTAGTTCAGTTCTAGTTCAGTTCTAGTTCAGTTCTAGTTCAGTTCTAGTTCAGTTCTAGTTCAGTTCTAGTTCAGTTCTAGTTCAGTTCTAGTTCAGTTCTAGTTCAGTTCTAGTTCAGTTCTAGTTCAGTTCTAGTTCAGTTCTAGTTCAGTTCTAGTTCAGTTCTAGTTCAGTTCTAGTTCAGTTCTAGTTCAGTTCTAGTTCAGTTCTAGTTCAGTTCTAGTTCAGTTCTAGTTCAGTTCTAGTTCAGTTCTAGTTCAGTTCTAGTTCAGTTCTAGTTCAGTTCTAGTTCAGTTCTAGTTCAGTTCTAGTTCAGTTCTAGTTCAGTTCTAGTTCAGTTCTAGTTCAGTTCTAGTTCAGTTCTAGTTCTAGTTCAGTTCTAGTTCAGTTCTAGTTCAGTTCTAGTTCAGTTCTAGTTCAGTTCTAGTTCAGTTCTAGTTCAGTTCTAGTTCAGTTCTAGTTCAGTTCTAGTTCAGTTCTAGTTCAGTTCTAGTTCAGTTCTAGTTCAGTTCTAGTTCAGTTCTAGTTCAGTTCTAGTTCAGTTCTAGTTCAGTTCTAGTTCAGTTCTAGTTCAGTTCTAGTTCAGTTCTAGTTCAGTTCTAGTTCAGTTCTAGTTCAGTTCTAGTTCAGTTCTAGTTCAGTTCTAGTTCAGTTCTAGTTTAGTTCTAGTTTAGTTCTAGTTCAGTTCTAGTTCAGTTCTAGTTCAGTTCTAGTTCAGTTCTAGTTCGTTCAGTTCTAGTACAGTTCTAGTTCAGTTCTAGTTCAGTTCTAGTTCAGTTCTAGTTTAGTTCTAGTTCAGTTCTAGTTTAGTTCTAGTTCAGTTCTAGTTCAGTTCTAGTTCAGTTCTAGTTCAGTTCTAGTTCAGTTCTAGTTCAGTTCTAGTTCAGTTCTAGTTCAGTTCTAGTTCAGTTCTAGTTCAGTTCTAGTTCAGTTCTAGTTCAGTTCTAGTTCAGTTCTAGTTCAGTTCACTTTAGATTCTTAAAAAGCAATCTTGGAACTATTGGTATTACATATAGAAGGGAAAAAATGCAAACCCACTCGGGGACCATAAGGTCGATTGTGATTCCCTTCGTAGGAAGTGAAGATCCAAAAATATAGAAACAAAACATTAGAAAAAGAACAAGGCCATAAAGATATAGAGAAGAGGGGACTGGCTCCCCTCCCAAAGGGTTTAACCCTAGAAGTTATATCGAATTAGTCCCCTAATGAATAAAGTGAATCTAAATCTCTACATAAAACCCAGTGGAAGACATTACTGATTCCTCTTTGGCCTTTGATCTCCAAGATTAAAACTCGCTCTAAACATGTCTCTTTCCAATAATTAAAGGCGAATTAATATTTAACTCCGTACTATGCAAGGACCAGATCTCAGAATATGCAAGGAATCATTGAAAAAGGTTTTTCTTTCCTCAAATTAAAATTGAGGAAAATGATCTC